TAATAGATCAAAAGATGGATTTTCATTTATTCATTCATTCATTCATTCATTCATTCATTTCATTTGAAGCGATTCAGTATTTGAGTAGGAAGCATGTTGGGAAAATAATGGGTGCATTGATGCAATATTTAGTTTTAACTGCTAAACCACAATCATCACACATTTCCTCATCACTAGAGAATGATTTCATGTAACCACAATGGGTAAATCTTGTGTTCTTTTAATGTTAAGAAAGCTATAAGACTTTATGTCACACATTAACTGTTGTATAACTCAGCATATAAACATTTGCCAGTGCAGGTTTTTATTGTTTTACAGCACATCCAACGCCCCCAACTTATTCACCAGCCCTGACAACAGATGATCGAAACCTACCTCTCAGTAAGCAGATCTGGTGACGTCAGCGCATGTGACCTAAATTCAGACCTGAGGCGAAAGCCACGCCTGCTCCGATACCACTAGTAGTGGTAATTATGAAGGTTGCTGGAGTTTGACAACAATCATGTCGCCCAGCAACCTCAGTTAAATAAACAAACAATACATTTCCCATATCATACTAGAAAGCGCCTGTTTGCGGGGGCGTTCTTGTAGCAAAGCTATTTTTAAGTATGTATGGAGAGTTGTGTGTCTGTGTCTCAGTCAGTGTGTAAAACGATTTTTAAATGTGTACAAAGCTATGAATAAATGAAAAGTATTTGGATCCAAGTGTTGGGAATACAGACAAATCACCAGCTACAAGTCAAGTAGGCCTCACAGTTGGCTGTCTTTTTACTTTCTCTTTTTACAGATTTGTACCTGTAACTTCAGCCTGTGAGCCTGAGCTCAGGGCAGAAGTGAAGCAGAAGTCATGTGTAAAGACAGCCAGCTGTGAGGCCTGCTGGACTTATAGCTGGTGATTTGTCTGTATTTCCAGCATTTGTAGACTTTTCATCTACTAATGTCTTTGCACATATTAACAAATCTTTTTAGGCATTGACAAACCTCACTATGGACACAGATTGAGATACAGACACATAACTCTCCATACACATTAATAGTTAAAGACAAAACTATTAGCCCCCCTATGAAATTTTTATTTTTTTCCCAAAAAATTCCCAAGTGATGTTAAACAAATGAAGGAATTTTTAACACAGCTTTATCAAACATCCTAGTTTTATTTTGGATGCTTACATTTTTTTTTACTTTTCACACAGAAACAAAATTACTTAACAAATACCAAAAACTACCAGGGTCAAAATTATTTGCCCCCTTGATGCTAGTAGTCAGTTGTGTGTCCCTTTTGCTGGATAGCAGCTTGCAGTCGTTTGTAGTAGTTTGTACCAAGACTCTGACACATCTCCTGAGGAATCCCATCCCATTCTTCTTTGGCAAATCTCTCAAGCTCCTCCAGATTTGATGGTCTTCTGGCGCTCAAACATTGTAAAGGACTGACGTGACCTGTGCTTCCTAGAAGCTGCCAGCAGAGGCTGCTGTTCACATAGGAATGGTTTTCTCTCCTCTTGGCTCAGCTCACCATTAGCTGTTGTGTATCACTTTCAATTATGGCATATTTTTTGCCGCAAAAAACTCTCAGAGTGAGTCAGCAGCTCTTCATATTATTATTACTATATTTTAAAGCCAGCAGTCCAGCTTCTAGCTTCTGTCAATGATTACATTCAGTAATGGAAAGAACGTTAACTCAATAACTCTGCTTACAAGTTCAAATTTGGAGGTAATTAAGTTTTCATTCTATGCAACTTTATAGCCTACTTCCACTCCACCACAGTCCTGAGCGAGTTTATTCCACTTGATTTATTTGCCAAATGGAGCCACTTTACAGGCTTTTACATTGTAATCCATTGATTAAACCAGAGGCTCTCAACATTTATGGCTTACAAATATCAAATATCTATGAGTTATAAGCAGGTCTACAAAACAGACAGTTACCCTCTGAACTTTTCAGATGGTTCATTTTAATTAGCTAGAAAGCAAAGATTACAGAAAAGCATATCTTTGCATTTTGCTCTCTGCGACTCCTTCATGAAGGACTTTCGGGTCCCTTAGATTCAGATGTAACTCTTCCCTAACTTTGTAAACCACTAAACTCAGCTCCTGAACTGTACATTAGCAGTAAAATGTTCATTCTTATGTATGTTAAGTACAAGATGATCTGATTTCTGGAAGGCATCAAGTTAAAGATGACAAATTTCTTTAACATTTTGGGCATGGTAGGTTTTTAATTGACATATCTTGTGGTTCCAAAACAGCCAAACAGTACCCAAAGCAACAGTTTTAGAACCCTACATGATAGGTAACACCCGTTTGACAAGCATCACAACTTGTAAATACTTATTTTGTAGCAGCTACAAGTCTTTCATTTCATATTTGAGGGATTTTGGCTCATTTTTCCCACAAAAAGTTTCTAGTTCTGTGGGATTCTTGGACTATTTAGTTGATTTCTATGGTGTTTAGGTAGAGGGAGGTGTGTTTCACATCATTATTCTGTTGTAGAAGCATCCACTTCTTATCTCTAGGTTTTTGACAGACGGTGTGATGTTTGCTTCCAGAATTTGCTGGTCAATAATTGAATCCATTCTTCCCTCTACCAGTAAAATATGGTCCGTGCCAGCTGCTGCAACACAAGCCCAGGCGTGATGGATCCACCCTCATGCACAGTTGGAGAAGTTTTCATTTTGTGACATTCTGCACCTTTCTTCCCTCCACATATACCTTTGCTAAAGGCAGCCAAAACGACTTTACAGGTTTTCAAAATGCATTAGATGCTGATTTGGAAACACTGAACTTTACAGTGAGGACAAAGGAGGGAGTTTCCTCAGATAACTCCTCCATGAAGGTCACATTTTTGCAGGTGAACAGTGAAAAACCGCATCAGAGTCTATTAAATCTTCCTTTTGCCTTCCAACAGGGGTTTTGATTAACGTTCCTGGATGTCCTACGAATAGTTCTCGCAGAAAGCTTTCTTGTTTCATTTAGACCTCACTTGACACTCTGACAGCACTTTGCTATCTTCCTCTAATTTCTTCATTTATTTGATTTCAGCCTGTTGTGTAGCTGCTTAGAGGAGCCTGTTGCTGCGGATTGTTGGGACACAGCTGGAGAAGTCAGAGTATTTATAAATCTTTAGAAAATTCGAGTCAGCTGGTCTTTCCTAACGATGGTTGTTAACAAACCAGAGCCCAAACAAGC